CTTTTGTAAGCGTTTACCGGAAGCTTGACTCGCAATAGAGATCTTCAACTCGGAGTATTTTTTGTTATTGCTTGAGAATCGAAAGCGATAATCTTTTGTTAAACGTATATGATAGTGAGCTCGTAGGACCAAGGAAAAAAACATACAAGAAGCGTGATTTCTGTCTGTCATGTCAGAATAGCCACTCAGCATTACAGGCCTTCGAAAATGGCATGCGGTGGTTTAGTCAACATTCTGTTCAAAGCAGGTAAGACGACTTTGTCTGCTTAACTGTTCGATTTGTCAGCTGAATTAATGAAACTAAAATGCAATTATATGTTAGGCAGGCGTTGTACTCCTATAGCATGGCGATGATCGATATGCATCAAATACGTGTAAAACCGATATTTTTGTCGCCGATATTGGCGATCGCCAATCGCTACGACTGGCGATCGCCAGTTTTCGGCGATTACACGTTTGATATGTATCGATTTGACGTGTGGTAACTTGTTTGGCGATTGGCGAGGAGTATAGCGGCTGCCTTAGGCCCTGGGCAGAGCTCATGCAATTTCGTCGCGTCGCGCCCTGTCATTTTGGACAAGTGTTCCATGCCACGCTGTTTAGTATGTGGGTCCCGACGCGTTTGTGATGGCTGCGCGGCGCGACGGATCGCGCCACACTTTTCGGCGTTCATAACTTGGCAGGCGATATTGTCGCAATTTTGCCGAATCGGCGCGATGTCGCGTCGCTCGTTTGCGGCGAGCGACGGGGCGACCGTCGCGCCGATCCTGAACTGCATTTTCGATGTTGTTGTTTTGAGTTGCTGTTTTTTTGCGGGTTATGAGTGTTTTCGCATGAAATGTTGCAAATGCTAAATTATGCCCATACTTGCATTGTTTAATGAAGGTAGCTAGTCCTCATTTTGCGTTTTTTCATGTCTTTCATCTACATTTTCCTACATCTCATGTATCCTAGGCTGCCAAAAAGATGCGTTACAAGCCCTACTCTGTTCGATTGCGCATCGAATACTTAAAGAATGTGCTCACAGTCTACGTTGACGATGGTATGCAGTAAACTCCGAACTATGAGCTTTGCACGAGATAATAATATTATTTTCGTCTATCATGTGTAGTACATGGGGGACGTTTCTAGAGCCAAAAACATCGTTTTGTCGCGTAACGGTTCTTTCGGAATGTGCGCAGCCACTGGGCCTTGCTGGTACTTCTTCTCTATTCGTAATTGCTTTTCAACAGTCATTTGATTATGATCCATTTACCAGAACCACGATTTCGTTGATTTCTCCTTCTATTATTGATCATTTGGGTACATATCATTGTGATTGTTATCAAGCCGGATACTAATGTGATAAACTTTCAAACTTCCTTTGTCTGCTGCTACACCTTTTTGAATGACAGTGATGTAGTAGAGTCAAAGAGAGCACTGATTTTCAGTAATGTTAGAGTACGTGCAATGTGTGAAGTGTTGTGCAATTGCATGAAATCGCGTCGGAGGTATGCACGCCTCTGGCGACTGAGCGACTCAGTCGTCGCGTCCCAGTCGCCACTTTCGTGCAAGTCGTCGCGACTGAAGATCGCGCGACTTCGTCGCGTGAGCTCTGCCCAGGGCCTTAAAGGCAGCGTACACCCAAAATGTAAGTTACCGAATTTCCTAGATCTTTCTATACCGTGTATATACTGAGCCCAGAACAAGACCAACTGCGTTGGTCCGGTCTGCCAATGTTGCTTCTGAGCGGAGAAAACCCTCCTCGATTTTCTTTCACTCTGCCCTTTTTCTTTCACTCCGCCTCCTCCGGACGAATCCACGACAGCATAAGCTTCAGTTGCCGTTGTAATTGCTGTTGCAATGCTGTTGCAACTGCAATCACTGTTGCAATACTGTTGCAAGTGCAGTTGCTTTTTGCGATGCGCCTCCTTCGGGCGACGAACCATGACAGCATATGCAGCAGTTGCAGTTGCAACGGCAGGCTGTCATGCTGTTGCAGCTGCAGGCATGCCGACGGGGACGAGCATCGAAACTCGTCCGCCCCTAAAGAGAGGGTCCCCGGAAATCGTGGTTTTTTGGGACTTTTGAAGGATTTCAATGACATAACTGTAATCAGCGGCACGGAAAGGCCCCAGAATGACAAAAACATCGAAGGTGAAATTTTAGGTGTACGCTGCCTTTAAGCAGTCCAAAGGTCGCTTCGAGGCGTTTTGGACTGGCTGTTGTGAAGTGAGACGTGTTAAAAGTTTTGTGGCGATTTTAGACAAAGACCAAGGCAATATTTATGATACGCAAACAATTGCTAGAAAGAGTGTACATAGGGAGAGTTGATAGATATGCATATGCAAGTTTTCATGAATTTGGATTTCAATGCAAAGTAGTTTCTCGTAATCCGGAGTTGCGGATCTCGAGAAGGCAAAGCGTAAGACGAATTATACGTTACCAAGTACCTGGAACTTGTGCTGTGAATGAGTTTATAGGCGAGATCACCTGTAACTCGTGTTTTGAAGCGAATCTGAAAATACTGTGGCGTAACACAAAAAAACCAACCGCGCATTCTTTTGGACCTAATTTTTTCTTTTCTTTTCGCATGAGCAGAGACATGTCCACATTGCTTAAAAGCAAATTATGTAAGGTGCAATGACTTTGAAGACATGTTGTATCTCGCCTACGAATGAGTATGTAGGCGATATAAACTGTTCAAAAAATAGAGGCACAGCTCAGTAAAACCCAACCCCTTATTGACTTTGTCTTGCGTTACTTCGCCTGTGGACTCTGCCGTTTTTTTTTAAAGCAACACGCGAGATGAAGTAAAGGAACAAATGGGACAAAATAGCACGATGTTGTTTCAGCATTTGATTCTTCGGCTTCGCACGCCATTAACTGAGGACTGCTTTTGTGACCACGTTCCTCACTCTTTCCTCTTTTGTAAACTTTAACTTCTTCTTTTCTTCGACAACTCGATACGTATAGTTTTCCATGCGAAAATACCTCCTTAGGGAGATGACTCCTTTCGTGAAACTCTGTAATTGAGCTTCAATTATTCTCATCTCAAATGACAAGCGAACATGGAATTGCTTCTTCTCAGTTGAAACGGTACACCTGTGTCTGTATAGTTACGTGGTGTTGGTACAAATTTTTCCTTTCGATCTCCTGATGCAAATCTACCCCCGCAACAAAGTCAGTGTGTGACAATCAGTCTGGCTCCGCTGCACAACCCATTGCGAACATCAAGATTCCTTAAAAGCATAACTATTGAGCCTTCTTTCAATCTTAGCTTGTGTGGAGACAGTCCTGGAGTCAGACTGTTGAGGAATTCGCTGGTATAATCATTTTGCGGTTCATCGCTAATACTCTACACCTTTACTCATGAAGCTGTCCCGGGAGCTTAGCCAGAGCTTCTTCATCGATTTGTGCACATCGGTATTTCGAGGTACCAAATCGCACATTCACCGTGGAAGTCTGTTAACAGGTCACCGAAAAATCGTCTATGAGATTGCCGTTAGAGACTATCTCAGCTGGCATCTTTATTCGTCTCAATTCGTCTTCCTGTGTTTCTCCATTTCTGACTCTCATCAATAAATTGCACCAAGAAGAGCTAAATTCTGCGGATTTCATATTGACTGAAAGCTGATGCATGCAGAACAACGACGTGGCTGTTTTTCATGCACGCATCAACCATATTGGCATGCCTTCCTCGCTTTATGATAGGCAGCCCCTGTCGGAAGTGCTCACCCAAGGCCACAATTTTTCCTCCAAAATGCTTTGTGTTGCACATCAGATCCTGGAGAAAACGAATTGCCTCCATAGAAAACTTTAAAACCATGCTTATTTCGTCCCAGATGCTTATATTTTATTTTATTTTTATTTTATTTCAATTTACACTCTGGGTGCACCAGAAAGAAAAACTCGACCAAGCAACTCAAACAAAAACACTAAATCGAGTCAGAACACATACGACAGAAGCCTTGCCATCTCTAAAACTATATTCATTCCCGATTTAGAGTGCCAGCGAGCCCCCGGTGCCAGGTTAGCTGACGTAACCCACGATAAAAATGATTCTGTTTTGGAGGTGAGCAAGATCCATCGGAACGTAAAAGATATCCGAGGAAATTAGATGCAAGAACCTATAGGAAGCAACTCAAAAATTGAGCAGCTACCACGACGGTCTACACTCGTAAAGACGGTACAAGGACCAGTGAAATAAGAAAAAAAAACAAACAGCGTAATACAAAGACAACAACTACAACAGCCGTAGAAGCCATTCAAAGTCAAAAAGCTAGCAACAGGCAAGATTGACCTCGACAATTATTTAACACTACTAATATCGGTGTAAAAGCAAGATTATTATCTCCGATGTAGTTTCCCCGGTTCCGCTAAGAAATAAAAACATGAAGAACAAAATATGACTATGAATCTAGAAGTACATCCAAATTAACTTTCCTCAATCCCAATTTGAAGCTAGAAGCGTTGGAAGAACCAAGAACACTTGAAGGTAGATGCTGTAACCACCTCGCTCCTCGACAGAATAGGTTGTTGTATGCCAACATGAATTTCTTTTTATTCTGGTGTAGTGCAAATTGAACGAGAAAGAGCGTGGACTGCTAGGCATAAATATCCAGTATTTGCTTGTTGAAAGTCTGAGTTCCTTACGTTATACTCGAAAGCAAATCGAGTCAGATATTTTCCTACGGTATTCTAGGTATTCTAGGCTCTTCATATTTAGTTTCTTAAGCCGGTCGTCGTAAGATGGAATGGATCATGGTTATGTCTCTGTATTTTTCACCTATAACGTTGTGAATCAAAGGACTGCTTATGTTTGCTTTAATCAACTGACTTGGCGGCTGGAAGGCGGGGCTTTCTGACCTAATAAAGACCGCTCGCGTTCGCTAGGCAGTCTGCGTCTCTCTCGCGCGCGTGCTCTCTGATCATTACCTAACCTCAATTGGGTCACGAAGCTCCGCCTCCCACGCGTCAAGTCAGTTGAATCAAAGGGTACCAAGACTGTCTTAATTCAGGACCTAACACTCAACATGCGATTGTTTCTCTTGATGTGTCTTGCTGCAGCTCTGATAGCTCTGATAGTAGTCATTTTTAATAAGCGTAACAAGAAGAACACCATAGCCGGAGTCAATTCTAAAAACCGTAACTGTTGGAGGAAGAACAGCAAGTTTGAGGGAGAAATCCCTAGCCCTTGGAAGAAGAACACCAAGTTTGTGCGAAAAGAAGGTGATTGGAATGTGAGTTTTGCAACCTTTGTTAATCTCTTAGTTCAAAGGATTAAAATTCAATGTCATTGGGTTTTTTTCAAAAAATCTAACAGCTCTAAAGCTCTTAAAGTTTAACATACTAATTATTTTTTTGCTAATACGGTTCCATAGAATTGAAGCAAACATTTCCCCAATGATTTCATTGTAAGAAGTCTCATGGAACTTTGGTGGAATGGAAAGACCGAAGGTTAAAAAAGAGCGCATAATGAAGGGGATATTGGTTACGATTTGAAAAAAATGAGAACCAGCAAGAGAGAGAATTATGAAAGTGATTTGACGAAAAGAAAACTCAAACTCCTTAGGCACAGTCATTGCATAATTTTCACATTTTCAGATATATGAGACACGTCCAGACAAGCAGCTTGAACCAATGAATGACAATCCGAAAATGGGAGCTGAGATCGTAATTCCGCCAAACGCAAAATGAAAATCTTGGTGTAGTTGAATGGCTACAATAAACTTCCCTGGTGGTTTCTCATTCAATTTCCCAGGCGAATTCCTCCGAAATCACTTCTGTCGTAATCATCTTTATCATCAGTTCTACAAATTTTTGATCACTTCAGATTAATTAGCAGAAATAGCGAGACAAGAATGGACTGCCATTACCAAAGAACATACTCTTTGCATTGGTAACCATCTGGGTCAAAAATCTTGCCTATGAGCATCTTTTATAACCTTTGATTCAACTGGCTTGGCGGCTGGAAGGCGCGGCTTTGTGACGTAATTAAGGCCGCTCGCGTCCATTAACAGCCTGCGTCTCTCTTGCGCAGTGCTCTCTGATCACTGCCTGGCCTTGATTAGGTCACGAAGCTCCGCATTCCAACAGCCAAGCCAGTTGACCAAAGGGTAAGCTATACCCCACTCATGTATAAACATATAGGAGAGTAACTCATTCAGCAGAGTACAATGTACAAAGGAATTATATCCTATTGTTCTCGATGATTTCCTTGTTTTAGACGGGTAACTAGGCATGCGACAGATAAAAAGCAAGTTTTGCTAGCATTTTTTCGGAGAATTGGAGATGCTGATATAATACTCGTTGTGTGGGTAGGAATATTTCGTAAATTTGGAGCAGAATTGATGCTTCCAATATATGCCTAAATAAAAAGCAAAGAGCCTATTATTCTTCAATTATTCTTTTGTAAAATTCAACCTTAAAAGCTGCAATTTGATGGAGAGAGAATGGCGAACTCACTCGCTGAGATTGTACGGAAATTTTAGAAAGATGTCTTCATGAACTATAAAGCACAGTATTAAAGGCGCCGTCTACCCAAAATGAGGGTTGGCGAGATTATGTTGGCATACTAGTGTGGGCCCCCATACTAGGCAAAGCCCCAAGTTTCGCCGCAAAAGACTGCTTCTGGAGCGAGAAATCCGCTTCGAAAGTAACAAAGTGGGCGGAGCGACCCTGGTAATCAGGGCCTTCAGGAGGCCTGGATTTTGTCGATTCCAGGCCTTCTAAAGCCCCTGATTTCGAATACGGAGTCGAAAATCCGCGAAACCTCCAAAAATCCCAGTTTTGAGAACCCCCTGCAACATGCGCCGGGGAGGTAAAGCATGCAAGTGGGCGGGGTGACCAGGGTCGCTCCGCCCACTTGCATGCTTCCTGAGCGGATTTCTTGCTCCAGAAGCAGTCTTTTGCGGCGAAACTTGGGGCTTTGCCTAGTATGGGGGTCCACACTAGTGTGCCATCATAATCTCGCCAAACTTCCTTTTTGGGTGGACGGTGCCTTTGATAGGGTGTGGCACAACCCGCCACAGCTTACCTTTACCGCAATCGGTAAAATTGAAGCTAATAATGTATTCGTAATCAGAAAGCCACTCCCCCCCTGTCTGTATCTCATTTGAAACGGTTTCTCGCATCTGTTGCTGTGTCGATCAACTCTTCGTATAGAGTTTAAAGTCTAACATACACAGTATTCATCGTACCCTCTTAGGACGCAGCTTGCCTTGCTTTCGTACTATTGCTTTTCGAAAAATGAAACGTGTAGGAGACTGCGGCGACTTGACTCGACGACTCGACTTGACTGCAGCGCGTCCGCGCTCAAAGTCGATGCATACAGGTTTCAGCACGGGCGCTGTCGATGTATTGAGGCGTACTGTATCGCCAAAATGTAAAAATTATATGAACTGTCAGAACCTACGACCAATTTGCGAGCCAATGTTGAAGTTGGGCGATGTCTGCCAACCTGCCGGCATCTATGACGCCATCAGGCAGGATAGATTACTACCTACCCTTTGATTTGGGTTTGATCAGGTCTTTGGCTGAAATGTTAGCGCCAGATTTATGTATTGGCTGTTGATGTTGGAGGGAAACGAGAAGGAAAAGCGTCGTAGAGAGCTTGATCCGTGATGTAAATAAGCTTCATGTCGCCGATAATTGCTGAGGCGACTCCATTGTCGTGGTGGATGTGAGTAATACGTTAAGAGAAGTTTCTTCCTGTCATAGGTGCTTGGCGAACTGTCGCTTTTGTGAGACTAGGGCCCTTGTTATTACTGATATTGTTGCCGACATCGATGGATGTCGTCGTTGTCGTTATTGTTGATATTGTTGATTTCAAATGTTGTCCTTCTGAGGATTGATGTTGTCACGATTGGCATTGTCGCCGTTTTGGAAGATTTTATGGGAGTCTCGATCGGGCAGGTAAAGCATTGCACTAAATGGGTTGAAGGGCATATGTTTTCAAAGATGAGAAAGTATTATCAATTTATGTTCCAAGAACTTAAGGACTATTATCTCATCTTTGAACAGTTCCAGGCGGATGGCTCAACGGATGGTTTGCAATCTAGTTTTAAGTACTAAGGGCGCAGATGATGACTGATAAGGAAATCATGTTCAATCAAAGTGGCCTTTTAGTTGGGATGTATACCATATTATAAGACATAAGACGCTGACTCGAAATCTGCAATCCTAATCTGCCGAACATTAATGGACGAGAAGTTATGAGCGTTTGTTGGAGCAAAAAATCAAATGTACGAGTAAGACAAGCTTAGTCGTAATTTTTCTAGAGCGTCAACGGAAAACTGATGATTACAAGAGCACTTCAATAAAAAAATACTCACGGTTAAAAAGATCATACTTACAATTAGTTGCTTTATTTGAAGGCTAGTAAGATTTTGGCAAATCATTTTAACGTAAATGCACATTTGATTTTTTGCTCTCCAGTAAACGCTTATAACTCGTAGTCCACAAATCCGCAGGGCAGATTCGGAATTTTATGATTTTCAATACCGTATACATCCCATCCAAAGAGGCCACTAAATCTGCTCCCCTTGTGGTTTGTTTGACGATGGAGGATCAACTCCTTAAGCAACTCTTAAATGCTTCAGCTTGAAATCCGAAGTTTCCATGTAAGGCTCCAACGGCACCGTAGCTCATAAGTTACTTAAATGTTGCTCAGCACTATGAATTTCTGTCATTGCCCTACAAGCCTTAACGTTTGCCTGAGAGAAGGGAACCGAACCAGTTTCTTAGCAACTTTAAGGAAATACCAATAAATTTAGTTTGTACCATAAATTGTTGCCCAAGCAATCTCAACAATCATTTATCTTGAGTGCAAAATGTCACAACTAAAGTGCATAGAAAGATATGCTAAGAAAACAACTTTGTAAAACTTTGTAAATCTATATAATTAAGGTAAGGCAACAGTTTGTTGTGAACTTTGTTTGTGTCGGTCTCAAAGGATCGAGGATGGTTATTAACACCGACACAAACACAGTTATCAAGACATTAAAGAGAAAAGAAAAGTAATAAATGGTATTAAATTACTTTTTGTCTCTAGTTTACTGCCGACCCTCATATACTGCTCTTGGTCCATGGTACCGTTAGATTTCCTATTCCTTCCTTTGGCAACGAAGTCTTAGCCACGCGACATCAATGTTTTTCCTTTCCGAGAGCTCCTTAGATTACTTCTTCTTTCGTCTCACTTTCATCTGCGACCTCTGCTATTCAACGTGGTTTATGCGCGAACATCTTAATTGATACCAAATTTGTCCTTTATACAATTTTCGCAGTTTTTTTTCCTTCATGAAGTTTCAAAAACGAGGACCTCCAAAAAACCTTTCGGTTTTTTTGACGCATGTTTTCTTCTAGTTTGCATTATCAGTATGAGCAGATGTGCGCTAAGCTACAAAACTTGCTGCTTCTAGTGATCTTGACTATATTCGAAAATGTGAGGATTGAACAAAGTTATAACTTTTCAGTGAAACTTTTGAAAACGGAAATTATTTTCGACCAACCCAAACATTTTGGAAAACATTTTTGCACGAATGCTACAAAACTTCCCATTTTATGGACATTCCACTACAACTGGGAACAACAGTGCTGATCTGACACGATCTGATTTTGAGAACTCTTAACATCAAGGTTCCTGATGTCCCAATTACGTCAAAAGATTGAGACCCGGTAGGGGGGGGGGGAGAGATTCAGATCGCTCCAGCTAGAAGATTCCAAGAAATCAGAAAAAGTATGCCGCCGCTTTCATACATGTAGGTTTTTACTCGAGCATCCGTGGTTGTCCCTACAATGCTCAGCCGCCTCAATGTGGCGTGGGGGTGACACTGGGTGTCACCTGGTCGGCACAGGCGAGTGTGTACTTTGCTAGAGCCTCCCAAGCTGTGAAGGAATTCAACGTTTCCACTTTTGGCCGATGCCTAGCTAAAACTCAGCCAGGCCAGATCTTCCGCCGTCTGGTTTTCCCAGTCGCTAGTCGGTCCTCCCGCTCCACACCCGGGTCAGCGATCGCCCCGTGGAACTCAAGAGTTGCGTAATAAGCCCGCTCTTGTAGGGGAAAACTTTTATCAATCCGTTAGCAGAAGATATGAAGAAAACCCCGTACATCGTATTCCGCCTACGGCGCCGGCTGGTAGCAAGAACGATGTCAGGGTCTTCAGGGCGCCTTTGAATCGGACAAAAACGTACGTCTGTCCGGTCGACACGCCATGGAGACCTCCTCATGCTCTGTACCTACAATGCTGGGGCAGTCTCCACAAACGCCGACCTCCACGCTCTTCACGACGCTGCAGAGCACATAAAGACGTCCACGACTCCAGGACCAGATCATCTTACCATCGAACTTCTGCGAGCCGGAGGTCACCGTCTACACGAGATTCTAGCGTTGCATTTGACATCTTACCTTCAGAAGGAGAAGATTCCCGACCAGTGGAGAACGTCAAGAACCGTCCTCTTCAAAAAGGGTGAATGGGAGGATCTTCGGAACTATCGCCCAATATGATTGATGAGTGTGCTGTACAAGCTTTTCACGAAGATTATCCTCGCTCGCATATCAAGGACACTGGATGAAGCCCAACCCCAAGAACAAGCTGGATTTCGCAGAGAATTCAGCTGCATGGACCACATCCAGACCGTTTCGAGGGTCATAGAAGTCTGCCGGGAGTACCGACTGCCTTTCGTCTTACCTTTGTCGA